TTGACAATTCTTGTGCCCATACTTTATTATAGAATAATCGGGTGTTGTGATCTTCGTAGTTTGTTGATTCTCCAGATAGTTTTGTGAAATGTCTTATTTTTACAGTCTGTTTCCATGCTATTTTCTCGTATTCTTCAATTGTGCTGCGATTCTGTTCAATAAATACCATTCTGTGATGTATTTCCTTTCAAACATATTTCTGATCTCAGTCCTTATGTCTTCTACTATAGGTTTGTTATTTAACTTGTATCTGGTTCCTGTTGCTGTATTGTCTATTATGTTATTCTCTTCTCTGATCCAGTTGTGTTTTGTTTTTTTCGCTTCTGTGTTTACCTCTTTAATGTATGAGTCGCTTCTCCTCTTCTTGTGTGTAAGCTCTACTGTCAACTCTTTCTGTTTAATGATTTGTTTTATTCTTTTTGCTATTTCATTATATTTCTTTTTGCTCTTGATACATCTAATAACCTTTATTGCTGTTTTGCTGTCCGTAATGATTCTTGTCATGCCTTTGTGCGTAATGCATATCAATGCGACCATTATTGCAATTAGTTCTGTTTTTAGTGCTGTTGACCTTCCTTTTAGTTTTATGCCTATGCACTTTGTTTCCTCTTGTGTATGTACATTATACATGTGGCAGAAATTAGTAGATCCTTGATGCAATTGACGCAATTATTTGACGCAATTAATTGAGTCACTATTAAAACATATAAAATAATTGAGTCAGATGCAATTATTTTTGAAGATTTTGGCAATTGAGTCAATAGCAAAATAATTTATACCACATGTATAATGTACATTGATAACCTTGATCGCTATAGTGTGATTACTATTTGCGATGCCTGCATCTGTGTATGCTTCTGTTTCTTTCCATATGGCTATCTGTTTTCTGAATTTGCTGACAGTATTCTTGATACTGGGGTTTGTGAACAGACCTTCTGCTTGGAATTCTTCCAGCAGTACTATCACTACTTCTATTTTAGGATCTTTGTCACTGGTTTCACTTATTCTTCTTATTATTTCAATACTTGTTGGTGATATTAATGTCTTTAGTTTGCTTCTTGTATTTTTAGGATCTCTTGTGCTTTGCTTTGTTCTTGTTACTTGTATACTTACACAGCTTGTGTTCTTTGCATAAATCATACATATGTTCCCTCTTTTGTCAGCATGTGTGTTTTTTGCATGAATCATACATACGTTCCCTCTTTTGTTGGTGTGTGTGTTTTTCTTGCAGCCTTCACATGGTTCTATAGATGATGCCTGTGGCTGCTAGGTGTAGTGTCTGAGTATTGTGGTGTCTTGTTTTCTCTTCCTTAGCTTTTCTATTGTTTGCTCTGTTTCAATGTCGACCAGCATCCAGTCTCTGTTTTGATTTTTAAGTTCTTTTAATGTAAGCTTACATGTTTTGTGCCACACTCTGAATATGTTTGTTCTGTTACCCAGTGTCCTAAGCATTCTTCTCTGCATGTCTATTGGATCTGTTAATTTCTTTTTTATTTCTTTATAGAATGTTGGAATGCGACCTTCTGCTTTCATGTTAAGTGACTTCATGATGCTGATCCATGTGTTGCATTTAGTCATATCTATGTTGAAGAGTTGTTCTATCCATTTTAATTTTTGACTTCTAAGTTTCTCTCTGTTTCTGCCAAACCATTCTCTTCCTATTGTTTCTTCTATAGTTGTCAACTTGTGTATGTCTTTGTATGTGCTTTCCTTTCTTGCTTCCATTGTGATCCTGATATTATATGTTTGGCTGTTCCTCAACATGTCATGCATGAAGTTTTGGTTGTTTCTGAAAAGCTTTGGGCATGTGTCCATTACTGATGTTAGTGTTCATGCTCTCTATTGGATGTTCTTTATGTTGGCTTTGGTAATGTACAAGACTATATTGTGATGATCTATAAGTGCTTTTGTGTCTGTTATGTATTTCTAAAGTTGTTTAGTTTGTAGGTTGAATATGTTGTATCCTAGGTGGCTGTGGAAGAGAGTGTTTGGGGCTGTTGTTGCAAAATCTAGTTTGTGTTTCGCTATATGTCTTATTTTTCAGTTCATTTATCAACTTCCCTATTTGAGAGTACCATGTCATTAAGAAGATATTCCAATTTTGGGAACAGCATGTGATTTAGTATGTATACTATCTGTTTGTCTGTTATTTGCTTCCATTTAAGTTTGTTGAGTATTTGCATCAACCGTTCTTTCAGTATCTGCTTTTGAAAGCTTTTGTCACCTTTCTTTTATATCCAAATCTCCAGATACCTCACAGGGTCATCTGTATACTTGATCTCTACTCCACTGAGTTTAATTGTAGATGGGTTGTCTTATCTGAATACTATCATGTGTGTTTTCTGAGGATTTGCTTGAATGTTGATTAGATTGTAAAATAACTCTGCTGTTTTTATGATGACCTGTATTTTCTTTCTATTGTTTGCTATCCATGTGGTGTCATCCATATATGCAGCGATTGATATGTTGGTTTTTTCCATGTGTATATATGGATTATTTTGTGTAGCCCTTCATTTTCGATATTTTGGTAATGAGAGAATCATAATAAATTCTCCAGAGGATTGGAGAGATCATGTCCCCTTGATCAATTTCTCCTAGAACTTCGTAAAGATTTGTGTTCCTGACTGTTGTGATGATTGTATTCCTATAGTCATTGAAATTTTCACTTATCAGATCGATAAAAATGATTGGTATCTTGAGTCTCTTTAGTGTAGCCTTGAGCATGTTGATGTTGACGCTGTCGTATGCTTTGGACATGTCTTAAAAGATTATCCAGCATTCTTTGTTATGAAGCTTGGCATTCTCAATTACACTGTTAACCATTTTGATTGGTTCTCTTATATTTACCTTGGATAGTGCTGCCCAGTTGTGTTTAGATAAGATTGGATGGGCTGTTAGAACTCTTGATAGTCTTAGTGTCAATATTTTTGTGAATATCTTTTTTATGAACTCTAACAATGTGATTGGTCTGACTTTTGATAAATCATTTTCCCAGTTTGATGTCTTGGGAATTGGATATATAGTACTGTATTTCCACTCTGTGGGCATCCTTTTGGTCACTATTACATTGTTACATATTTTCCTAATTACTTCTGTTGCTTGTGCTCCTTGATTTTTTAGAGCTTTGTATGGTATTTGTGATAGTCCCAGCACAGACTTGCTGTTTATGTTTCTTATTACTTCTATATGTTTCTCAGTGTTGATTTTGGATGTCAGGTTCTTGTATCATTCCATCTGAACGTGTCTTATTGGTGCATATTCATGTATCCATTTCTCAGTGATCATGTTGTGTGACCCTGCTTTTGTTCAATTGGCAAAATGCTCTCTGACTGTTTGCTTGATTTTTTCTTTGTCCAGTATGACTTTTGGTTTCTCTTCTTATGTAATGATTTTATCAAGTACAATCTGTGTACGCTTGTTATTCAATATGCTATTTATCATTCTTTTTTTATCTGTCTCCAACCAGTTCATTCTCATCTTGAGCATTGTGCTTATCACCTTCTTCTTGGATTCTGTTAGCAGTGTTTTGTATGCATCTTGTATGGTTTTTCTTGTGTTTTTAACTTCTGCAAGCCAATCAGTCATGTGGGGGGTGTCCATGTTATGGGCTGACCAATTTGCTCACTGTAGACGTTTGTAAGTTTCTGGATTCTTTGCAGTATGTGCGTCTTCATGTTATTTTTGATGAACTCCTTGTCTTTCTATATGATCTGTGATATACCTATCAAGCCAATTGTATTTGCTGCATTGATTGATACTTCTTTGTTTCTGCTGTAACATTTATGTTTTTTAACTTTCCTTATGTGTTTACTGGTTGCCGTGAGAATGATGTCTCTTAGTTTGTTTCACTGAGTGTTAATGTCTATCTGTGTATCCTTTTTTCAGGTATTGGCTGCCTCTGTGCATTTTTCGTCAATATCCTCTGTCCATGTCTTCTACTTGTGTGATTTGGTTACGGCCCAGTTGTATCTCATGTTTGGTATTCTTCTTCTGTTTAATTGTTTGTTTGTATGCAACTCGGGAAGATAATGTGTGTTGTAAAAATCTTGTGGTTTGTGTTATGCATCTGCTTAGATGGGGAGAGAATGTCTGTGGCTGTTATTATGTTGCTGTCTTTATTTGTAGTCCATATCTGATCTATTCTATTTCCGCTATGTGCTGAGTTCTTCCATGTGTAAGCAGGTGTATGTTTCTGAACATGTCTGCCATTTTTACTGTCATTAAATTGTTAATTAACAAGTTATTGCTGTGCTATCTATCTTTCTTGTCTTTCTTGTTAGGTGAGAATATATCTAGCAAGGATCTATATACATTATTTAGATCTTCCCTCAAAATGACCTTTCAGTTGTCTTTGTTTGCTTTGTCTAGCCATTTGTTTATTTCAATTTCAAGTTTTGCTCTTTTTGATAGGATTGCATATGAGTATACACCGATTATTTTGAGGTATTTCTTCCTGGGAAATACTAGGTTGAGGCAAATTGTCCTTCCTGTGATAGTCTGTTTTCATATAATTCTTTTTGAGATATGCGTTTTTATACTTATCCTGATTTCTTCCCCTATCTGTTGTGTACTAGATGTCCAGTATATTGTGTATAGGTCATTTTTCCAGTATTTTTCATTTTGGGCTTTGCTGTTTGTTTCTGTAGTAATGACTACATCCCAATCATAGACGTGCCATTGTGCGAACCAGATGCCTCTTTTACTGTTGTTGTTGATCCATCTTATGTTGGTTGTGGCAACTTTGAGTAATAGCAAGTCAGTATTGTGTCGCGAGTTTACGTTTGATCGATTTGCTTTACTGTTTTAATCTTTCGTTTTTTGTGATCCGTTATTGTATTCATACTCTTCTGAGACTTGTTTGCTCGTGCTTGGTTTATTATTCATTGTTGAAGACTAGTCGAGTCGGAATGACTGTTTTTATCTGAAAGATTGTTGCTGAAGAGTTCAATGAACTGTGCCATCGTTTTTCCCATTTTGTTAAGTTTTTCATTAATCCAGCTTTAAGTTGTTTTGATGTCTTCTGTCTTGATTAGTTGTTCTGTTGTGAAAATTGTGAAGTCCAAGGTGGATTCTGTGTCTTCTTCCATTTCATCCATGTGTCTGTGTGCTACGTCTTCCTTTAATGTGCTAACTCTTTTCTCTAGTTGACTTATCTGGTGTTGTACTTCAGTTATTGTTTTTTGTACGTGGTGGACGAGAGCAAGGAGCACGCCATTTAAGAGGCGGTGCATGTTGGTCCCTCGAGTTACATCAGTATAACTTCTGTTGGATTCATCATGTCTATACTGGTTTCCATTGTTGTAGTGTGTTTCCTCTCGATATGTGGAGAATCTGTCTTTGGGGTATGTCCTGTGTTTTATGCAAATGTTGTCCAGAGGTTTAACATTGCAATTTGCGATCATGTGTTAAGTGTCCCTACAGTAGTGACAAAGTTTCGCTATTCTGGCCACTCATGTGAGCTTGTGTTCTTTGAAATCAATGTCATTTGCTGTTGCTTTGATAAGGTCCTTCTGGGAGGCGAAATTTAAACTTGCGAACCTTCTAAATGTTTCATTTGTTTGCGGTGTATAACACGCTTTGGCGCCGACTTGTTGCATGATGTCACTGAGGTCTTGAGCTGTCATCGAGTCTGGAAACTTGGTTAGTGTAATGCTGAATTCATCTCTTTCTAGTCTTGTTTCTCTTGTATGGTAGTATGGAAGCATTCTCATTGTCATGCCATCTATTGTTACTGATCAATCATTTATGACTGTGTTATAGTCTGATTGGTGAGTAAAGGTTACTACCGCTGACTTGTGGGATCCTATTGTTTGTATCTGGATGTACTCAATAGGACCAAATTTTATAGATCTTGTCGTGATATCTTTCTTGGAAAAGTTTTGGGGAATATCCCAAATTCTGACTGATTTGCGATTGGTTTCGTATATGTTGAGTGTCAATGTTAATCTTGGTTTAGAGTTTTCAAACTCTGAGATTGGATATATGCATGCTTCCTCGGCATCTGTATAGTTACTGAAAATAGTCATGATGTTTGGTTCTTCTGTTGGCTCTTCCACTCTGACATGTTTGAGGAAGGATCTACTTGCTATTCTCTTCTGTATAAATCAGATTTTTTCTTGGTTGTCTTTCCTAGGTACTTGGTCAAGTGTAAAGAATACTTTGCTATTGCAAAATGTGTTCACATTTTTGTTGTTGCTGTTGATGTTGTTATTGCTGTTGATATTGTTAATGCTGTTATTGTTGCCTTGAACTAATGTATCTGATACTTTTCCTTTTCCTTTCTTGGCATAGGTGAAAGTTCTATTTTTCTCTTTTTTTTTTTCCTCTTCCATTTCGTCTGTACACTTCAGGTTTGTTGTTGGTTTTGTTTCTGGATATTCCTGACTGTTGGTTCAACTATCCTCTGTATCTGAAAGGTCTCTTTCCATGCTGATGTCAGTCATATCTACTTCTAGCACACTTATGGACTTCAGGTGTTTATGGTTCAGAATATTCATTTCCTGTGTTATGTCTGCTTTTCTGCTGCTGATTGGTGTTGATCTTTTGAATAAAGTGGTTTTTTTGACAGTTGTTGTTTTCTTAACGATTTTTCCATTGTTCCTTGCAACTAAGTTATCATTATATTTGGATATTGTGTCTCTGAGAGAGCTACGCAAAATGCGCTAGCTAGACATATTGTTTAGAGTTTCCTAATTTGGTAATTTAATGTTGAGATAAGTATATTAATTATTATATTTTAGGTACAAATAGTATTTTTTTAATAAGCAATATTATTGTATCCTATTATAGGGATATTTTTTCATCTCTCTGATATTTTTTAGCTAATTTTAACTATATTTATACTGTTTGCAATATGTCTACTAGACTATTATCACATTATACAACATTCCTTTAAACTTTTTAAGCTTCCCAATTGATGATCTGTATATCATATCAAGTCAAATGACTATTAGCAATTCAGATAGATCTATACATTTTTCCCTGCTAACAATATATTACTCTTATAAATTAAAAATAAATATTTACTAAGACTCTTTTAACTAATCCTTTTGTCAATCCTAAAAAATCAAATGTTTTCAAAAGATTTATATCTTTATAATAATAAAGTCTATATACTTTCTTTAACAACACTAATTTTTTAATCAAAAAAGTATGCATTAGCTATCACTTGTCTACTTTTTTTCTTTTTAAAATACTTTTTTTGTTTATTTTTGCAACTAAATATAAAAAATCTATCTAAAAGATTTATAATAAAAACACTTTTCTAAAAAAAAAACTGATAAGAAAAAATACACTCCAAAAACTTTCAAGAGATTCAAGATTTTAAAAAAATAAGAAAAAAGAAGTTTTTAGTCTTTTCATTATTTCATGACTTTTTATTTCTTTTTTTTCAAGTGTGCTTACTTTTTCTGATTTTTTTTAATTCTGAATTTTTGGTTACACTGGATCTTCTAAAAGATAATTGGTTAAGGTTACAGATTGATTGATCATATCAATTACAGAAAAAGTAAACAAGATATGTCCTTCTATATATTTCCAATTGTACAATATCAAATCTGATAATATAATTGATTCCTGAAAAAGTTAAACAGTTTTTAGTTAAAATAATAGTATGAAAGTATTAGATAATATTGAAGTTGTAAGTAAAAAGGAACTTTTCTTTTTTGTTTTTCCCTTTTTTTTTCCTATTCTTTATATAAGTAAATAATAGACTCAAGACACATGTCATATTTCAATCTGGCAATAAGTTGAAGTAACAATTATTTATTTTAAAAATAATTGGAAAAAGATATCTTGAAACTATTCACTGATTGAGTGAATCAATAATTTCAGAAGACATGGCTTGGGAGAGAAATCAACAATAAAAAATCAATAACCTTTTTAGTTAAAGTTTTTGAGCATAAAGTTTTAAGAAATACTCTTCTAAAAGTGTTTTTAAACATTCATATATCATTACTTCAATAAAAATTAAACAATCTGGTTAATTACAGGTAATGAGAAGTAAATACAATAGTAATTATAAGTGGCTCAAGTTTTTGATTACAGAATAATCTTTTTATTAATAGTTAAAATGGATAACAAATTTTTTTCTTTTATATCTTTTTTTTTTGTATACACTTGTACTGTTTTTTCCTCTTTTTCCTCTTTTTCCCCTTATATATTGTTGTGGTTATTTTCAGCGAGTCTGTTACTTTTATTGCAGGCTCGTATCACATTCTCAGTGAGTTGGTAAGACTTCCTTGAGATGTATATTATTGACTTGGCTGAAATGATACTCTTTCACATTTTTCTTTTTCTTCTCTTTTTGTTGCTGCATTTCCTTGATGACCTTTCCACTTTTCTATTTTCCGGGAACCCTGGTGTTTTCCTCTTTCACAGTATTATCAGGTACAATGAGTCTGTTGCTAATCCGAAGCTCAGGTTCACATATTGGTATGGATGAAAGTCTTGAATCACTTGCATACCAAAGGTACTTATTAATAAACCTCTTTAAATACCATTCTAATTTATACCACAAGTCTTATGGTCTCTCAAGATTCTACCAGTAGCAAGTACTAACTAAGGCAAGTTTATTAATTATATTGGTGCAATTACAAGTTTATTCAATATTATGTGGTCTCTCACTCTACTACTATTTTATGGTTATTGTCATTGTTGTTTTTCCCTATCACTAGTGATTTACTACTATTTAAGTAGTGCCAATGTATCTATCCTCACCCACAACATATTCTGCAGCCGGCTGATGTATAATCTGATGCATTAATGATAATGCTCCATGCCAAAGTCTAAATTATTATACAAATCATAAAAATACCTATAATTGCCTATATAAAAATGTACAATTTTTATGCCAACAACAGCAAGTACTGGATTCAGGTAAGATTTAATTAGCTTTTTCCTTTTAAAGCAACGTCTATCGCACAGCCTAAAAAATAATTATCTTAATTTAGGAATGGTTTGTCTTTATTTCATGCTCCTTTTCCCTAACTCTATTGGTTTTAATTAACTGTCATACACTTTCTTGTTATCAGTTAGTTAATTGTCAGGTAAGTGTCAAATACATGTCAGACAAGTGTCAGATAAGTGTCAAATAAGTGTCACGCTCTTCTATCTTGTCTTATCTATTTATTTATCTATGACTCTTCTCTTTTCACTTATTGTAATGTCATCCTCGTGATTCACTTCTATAGACTATTCCAGATTTATGATGGTTGTAACTCTAATTTTAAACTTTATGCTTACTAGATTTACTTCGTGATTAAACCCCTGATTAGATGTGATATATGAAAATTTTGTTTGCAGCCTAATCGGCTCAACTTTTACCCTAACAATAGTTTTTGCAAGAGGATTTGATACAATTTTGATTTATAGTTGTAACTATAGAGGTAATATACAGGTTTTAATTCTATTGTTGGGCTCAACGGCGAGTCTGTCGCTAATCCAGACCAAGACTCATATGACGTTGGGAGAGTGGGTCTATGTCACTGGCAATACCAAAGGTATATATGGTGATAATTATCCTTATCTTCCTCTTCTCTAGGTTGGTTCCTCTTCTAATCCTTTGCTGCCAAACTGCAGGGTCGATGGATTCTTTCCAGGATGACTTAGAGACAAATAAGATAAGTTTATTAATTATCGTTGCACTAGCACACAATTGGATTTACAACAGATGGTATTTTACTAATTTGTTATTTGATCGCGTCTCTCGCAGCTCTGGCTCTACATTGGATATCCTTATTATTTATATATGGCTGCAATGTGTCTCTGAATCTACTGTCTCGTTATGCAAAATTATTAGACTTTTACAAACTTTGTGCCCATCAATCATGCATGATTGATGCATGACTGATATTCTATGCGGCATCGCGCCAGGCCCTACATGTCGTGTTATACCCCCTACTATAATTTCTATGCTAACACTATTGAAAGCTTCAGATTTTAATCTTATCTATTAAGAAAATAATATATTATTTTATAAATTATATTTAAAGGTTTCAGCTATTGACAGATAAGTTGGATTGAAAAGATTTATAGTTTTTATATATTTTATTACTTGTAATAGTTTTATAATTTAATAAATAAACAATACCAGTCTAATTGTAAGTTTTAAAAAAATATTTACTTTATTAAATCAAATATTTTATACTATTATATAATAGCAATATGCAGTATATTAAATGCAATATATATTTTATTGAATAAATAAAAAATAATTATATAATATTAAATAGATTCTATATTATTTAACTTTATAAAGATAAAAAATATTTTTATATATGACCTGTAGATCCATAGCATAATAGTTAATGCTTCACAGATCAGATCACAAGATATCAGTTCAATCCCATGTGAAGGCAATTGAATAGATTAATATATATCTGGTACCATAAACAATTATGTGCTATTTCTTATAAGAAGCCATTTTATATGCTGATTCAGTAAGTGTTGAGATTGTAATCTTTCTATTAAAGTGTAGTAGTATAACAATTATCTGATTGGTGTCACAATAATCGTCTAATGAAAGGTGTCATTATATATTTAGATATACAGACTGGGCTGTACTCCATTTTAATCAACCCTTATCAATTATCAAAAACAACCACTTATTTGAATATACAGATTAGGCTGTACTTTATCTTATCAAAACCTATACATTTTTCTTTTCTATTGACTGTTGAATAAGAAAGCTTTGAAAAAGAGCACTATATCATCACCACTCTTATATAACATGGTCTCTTCTTGATCAACATAGGAGTTGCACCCTGCTTGGCATTTATGCCTCTAGATTTGACAGCTTAAATCAACTGGTCTGAAACTGGAGTGTCTATTAGGAGATTAAGGAATTCTTTAAGAAGTTATATCCTACTTGGCCACAAGAGCCCTTAGATTTGGTAGCTTAAATCCAACCAGCAGTCAAAACTGAAGCATTTACTAGAGAGTATGTCAAAATATCGAGACTCCTCTATTATATTAACTGTATAAGTAAAAAGGTGTAATGTGATAAGTAACTTAGGAATAGTTAGCAATACTCTCTACCCTTATACAATTGAACAGGTAAGTTGAATAGTTTAAAACTAGTGGAGGATTTCTATTCTCTAGATAGGTCCCTCCCAAAAATATGAATCCACTTGATGAATATTACTAGTATTACTGGAGTAATAAATAGATAGGCTAGCATTTAGCTGTTGTAATAATAATAAATAATGTTTAATGTAATGTAAAAATTAATAATTATTTAATAAAAATCGTACATCTAATGCCATTCTTACAAAAATATATATATATATTGTTGGCGGGGAAGTAATGTGGGGCGCGATGGCATGAACACATT